TGTTTGCTCTAACATTTTGATTGAATGACCCGGTGTGTATTCAAGTGCCCATTAGATATGTCTCTCAAGCTTCTTGTAATTCGATGCCTACTGCAGTTTTCACCTTTTATTGGCCATATTTTTGTGGTCTTGCATTTTGTGGAGGCTGTTCTAAAAGATGCAGTAGAGAAAGTACAGTAATGTAATTGTCTAATTGACTTTCTCTGACCTTTGTTTTGTTCATTACAATCTGCAAGCCACCTATGAACACCAGAGTAAGGAAAGGTTAAAAGGGATGTTTATCAAAAATAATGCCTGTTACTGCTGCCGCTTTATAACAGTTTTTTACTAGAAACGTAATGTGAAATTTGAATCCCTTTAACTTTGAATTACAACTGGTATTAGCTTTGCATAATATCCACATAAAACTCATGTTGCAATGCGTTACTTGCGTGATTAGTTATGATTCTAGGTAATTATAGACATCAGTAACAAATTATGTGTCAAACAAGGTCGGATTGTTTCACTTCAGTGAATCATTCTTTGATTGATAATGTTCTTACAGTTAGTGATCGAATGCACCTTTAGTGTAATCCAAGCCTGTTTTACAGTGCTGAGCTGACAGGTGACCTGGTTTGTTTTGCCTCTGTGTGCAGGCCTCTGAGTGTGTCTGTGCAGATGGTAATGTGGTCTCAGCATGCAGAAGGCAGCAGGACCCGTGCAGCCCATCACCATGTCTCAACAATGGCACCTGTGTGTCTAGGGGAACTGATTATGTCTGCAGGTGAAGCACATACACGCATCTCTCCTACTCACATAGTCCTTTTTTTTAATTTATTTTATTTTATTTTTTTTACAGATGATTGGAATGTCTTGTGAATGTCTCCCACCGTGAGTGAAGAGAAACTGATCTTATATTCTTTCCCACCTTTTTCTGTGTTTAGAATTTACATTTCACATAAAAAGGTCTGTTTATAGAAACGACATTTAAAAGAAAATGAATTTACATACTTGGGAGCCACTTTTAATGATTTGTTTCTTCAGTAGAAATAAATGAGCTGGAGCCGAGTGATGCAGCAGGGCAGGAAAGGGTACTGAGAGATGGTCTAACACATGTCGGCGTTGGTCTTTACATGGGATTCGTTGACAAGTTGTCAAATGGGGAATGATGCTTATGTCATAATTTTATATTTGTTTAAAAATGGCACTGTTCAGCTCTTATTCAAATTGTGTTGATAAAAACTGTCAACCATTGTTGGCTCCACTCTAAACTGGTAAAAGTTAAAGACACCCATACTTGCCATTTAATCTTGATCATAAAACTCACAGTCTGATTTTGACGCTTTTATAATACTACTCATCACACTGAAGCCGTAGCACAGACCTAAACTCCTGCTAGTGCTCATGCTTTGTCCACATCTAAACACGTGAAAAAGCAGAAGTTGTACCTTGCAGTTTGGATGTATAATAGATTCAACAAACACCTCCAACACCAACAGTGTTTCTTCTACTGATGTGTAATATGTTGGCATTCATGTTTATTAGGCTTTTTTTTCCCAGGACTTCCCCCCCTACATCTGATATTGGCTATCTTTCAAATCCAGTTATTATACTATACCAGATCGCAGTACTGATTAGTTTTAAGCACTGATCACATGAATTCTGATCTTGGCTCCAAGAAAAATAAATGTGGAAATTTCCTATCTCAATATTTTTTTTTTTTGCAATGCAATGTCTTCTCAGCTTAAGGTGATGGGTTTTTAATCAAAAATAGATGAACTATACTTGAATCTTTGATTTTATTCCTTGAAACTTGGGAGATTATAACTGCTCTTATAGTCAAAATCAAACAAATTATACAGTTTATGATAATTTTGTGGGAAATTAATTATGAATTTGACATATTAGACAAACAGCCAGTGAAGTAAGGAGAATGGTTCTTATGGCTGCAGGAGAGTATAATTATGATTTGTAATGGAACTCACTTTGTCCTTATACTGTTTATTAACTCCACGTATTTGGCAACCCACATCAAAACCAGTGAAAGAATCATTTGTATGCACTGTCTCATCCAGGTCTGTATCATAAACAGGCCATGTAGAGAACAACATGACATGTATCTTGTAAAAGAAAAAACAAATACTGTTTAGTGCTCAAGGCTCAGGGTGAATTGAATTTGATAACACCGACCTCCTCTCAACAGATGTGTGAGAGGGTTTTCCGGGAAGAACTGTGAAGGAATAATTGACTACTGCAGGCTGCTCAGTATCAGCTGCCTAAATGAGGGATTGTGCTTCAGTGTAATTGGCGGATATCAGGTAACTAATTCAGTGTTTCAGTCTTAATGAAATACTCTGAACAGGGTTACAGTATGAACAGAAGGTGAACGCTGTCAAAAGTGGAGTGGATTCATACAGTAACTCTTATCAAGCTTTAAACATTTTTGCAATTGTCAAACTTTTAATAATTTAACTTTAACATAAGTGATCAGTTTTTATGATTGTATGCAGTGCAATGTTATAAGATAAAGACATTGCTCAGACAGACAGGTTCTGGTCTAATTTGCCTTTCTGTTGCTCAATATCGTCAAATACTAAATATTCTTTGTCAGTCTTGTGCCGTTATACCACTGAGAGTGTTCTTAATCTAAAATCCACTTTTAGACACTCTGTGTGGGTGCATCTCCAGCTGGGGTCAGACATAATCTGAATTTGTTTTTCCCTATAAATGGGCCATTTCTTCTTTTTATGTTTTTTATTCTTGATGTAGTTTCCTTTGAGTATGAAAAGGCATTTGGTACAGCAGTCTGTCATTAACAGTAGCCTGCTCATTTAATTCCTTCTTATTATTCCCTCATTAAGATTTTATTTTTAAATATACAGACTAGTTCTTTTGAGCAGTTTTGCAGTGGATGCCAGCACACTGAATTTGAAATGGGGAAAAACAAGACTGAGCTTAAAGTGTTGGTTTCTAGCTTAAAAGGGTCATTTCACCCCTATTGCAATGCAATGTTAAAAAAAATTTTGCTTTCACCATTATATAATTTCATTTGTGGTGATTGCATGCATTTAAAAAAAAAATAGAAACAATGTGCAATAAACCCCCTCGATTATCTCAGACAATGACATGAAAGGTGCTGTTGAATGTGTTTAATAAATTCATGTTGTCACTCCCACAAATTTGATTCGCTTCCACCATATTGAAGCAGTGGCACCAATCCCAAATAACATATAAAAAACAAACAAACAAACAAAAAAAACCAGCAAATTAAACCAAACTCTTGTTGTAGGTAGACGTCACATGAGGTAGATGACAAAGTCATTTTGCTATTTGGGTGGACTGACCTTTTTATTGTTTGTTTGCAATCACACTACATGGACAGTGTACCATGTGTTGCCCTTTGTATTCATGTCTCTCAAGGGCACAAATGGATATGATTCCTACACTGATCCCATATGTACAGTAGGTGAATACCACCAAACTCCCTTATAACCCTTAAAACTCAGTCATTCTTTAATTTGAAATTGAGTGTGCAGAGGTATGTATATATAGATGATTGCACTAATGCATAGTCCTCTGCATGATATACAGTATTTTGTGGTAACAGATAAGTTAATGTGTGCTGTATCACTGAACACTTGGGTATTGCACTGTTTTCCTGCAGTGTGTTTGTGCCCCCGGATGGATCGGAGAGTTGTGTCAATATGCAGGGGATGCCTGCCTGATAAAACCAAACAGCTGTTTGAATGGTGCCACATGCATTACAACAAGTCAGCCTTCCTCTCCTCCACATTACTCCTGCATATGCCCCCGTGGCTTCGGAGGTGAGATAACTGCTTTTATTTGTCTGTCGGCAGGATATCTCAAAATACAAATTGATTTATACAAACCCATGTGGGAAGGTTGGTTATAGAGCGAAGAAATGACTGATTAATATTAGGGGAAAATCTGACATGTATTCTATCAGAAGAGTATAATGTGTATCATGCTAGAATAAGTACACATTTTGTGGTCATTGAATATGTAGGACTTGTTTCTGATTGGCTGCAGGTGTCCATTAAAAATGTATGTGATATAAAAAGCTCAGCCAAAGTACTGTAATGTGTTGTAATATTAGTATATTAGTGTGTTATATTAGTATAAATACACCTTATTGTGCACAGCTTACTTAAATCACACACAAATACCATTTGCAGCATTAGCCTACTACTTAACGCACCAGTTTGTAGTCAGGTTAAATGGAATACAAATATGCGTCACGGCTGCGTTGTGCTGTGTTTGACCACGAGGGGCCAGTAAAACTCCACAATTCACAGGAATTAACTAGGAGTTGAGATGGGTTAACATGTATGTGTTCGCAAAATGAGGGGATGCAAGTTCCTCTAGTAGCATCCACGATTCCCTCGCTTGCATCTTTTCCTTGCATATTATAGGCCCGCCCGTAAAAGTTGCAAGGAGAAAGGAACTGAGGAAACACATTTTAACCAACGTTAGATGTCCTTTTCTTGAGCCTTCATGTGAAGTGTCTGATATCAGACTGATTTCTGAAAAACAGGCGTGTCAGTCTGTAACGGACTTTGTTGAAGGATATACTCGTGTATCTTCGGTTATAGTTCCTCCAGGTAGCCTCTTCAGTCCTCCCTACTCTGAGCAGAGCTAAGAGCTTTGGGACATTCTTCATCATGGCCGACTGAAACGACTTCTGGGTCGAGCGACGACCGAGGAAAAATAAAATAAGGGAACTGGGATTCACCTATGGTTTCTCATCCAGCTGAGATTGAGCATCATGAGCAAACAAGTGAATGTCCAGTATTTACAGGTGTTTCTGCTGTTGTTTGCTTCACCAACTCTTTGTTTCGCTAAATATTTGGACTTCTTTCATCAGTCTCTCAGGTCAGCAAAGCAATATAGTAAGAAGGGAGGCTGCTCTTTAACCTTAGATTTAGGTTCAGACCGCCATGTTTGCGAGTTTGCTGATCAATTTAATGTCTCAAAAGATTGAATCCTAACCAGCTCAGTGTCTGCTGACTTATAACTGATGTCTAAACTCTGACCCCACTGATGAGGAAAAACAAACTTGTTGCAGAGATTATTATTATTATTTTGCATTAGTAGTGGGCAGCACAGTGGCACAGTGGTTAGCGAGAAGGTTCCAGGTTCGGGCCCCACCTGGGACCTTTCTGTGTGGAGTTTGCATGTTCTCCCCGTGCTTGCGTGGGTTCTCTCCGGGTGCTCCGGCTTCCTCCCACAGTCCAAAGACATGCAGCTTAGGTTGATTGGTGTCTCTAAGGCCGGGATTGGGCCCGGCCCCCCCCCCCCGTGACCCCGCTCAGGGAACAAACGGTAGAAAATGAATGAATGCATTAGTAGTAGCATTAAAGGTATAGTTGGTGGTCCTGGAAAAACCAACAAGAGAGAGCTCAATTATGAAAGTAGACATCTGAAAAAAATCCCACTCTTTTGTTCTGACTTCTCTCCAAAGCCACACATTCAAAACACAACGCACAGTCCATTGCGCACTGCCTGACTACTACTGATTTCAGGAAAATAAATGCCTCCCCAAACAAAATAAAAGAGATAATTACCTGTCCAGTAGAAATACGGCCACCATGGTGTCACTTTTCAGCCCCTCTTTTTCTTTGTTGTAGCCATTGTTCCAAAGCCACACCGATGTTAATTCTGGTTTTACTTCTTGCAGCATCCAACTTCTTTTTAGTTGTAACTTTCTCGAATACAGTGTTACCCGCCCAGATCTACAGCCCTGAACTGTAGTTGGGTACCTCAGGTTTATGGCTAAACCGCTGCCTCATAGCCTGTAACTAATCTTAGACGTCCGGGCTTTTCTGATGGGAAGAAGTGAAGAGGGAGGCCAGCTAACTCCATTCAAAACACAGGCTTTATTCTGCCGTGGTAACACGAACACCGCCTGTGGCTTTTGATGCCCAGTTAACTGCATTGCAATCTTATCTATACGGTTAGAGCTGACTGACTACTGTTGGGATTTTCCCCACCCGTGGCTACATGTAAAAGGAGTCTGTTCTGTGTGGCGATCTTCTCTTGCTTTCATACTGCTCACACTGCATGCAGGTCACAACTTCCTGCAAACACAACATTACCTATATGTCTTAAAAGGGAAGGCCTGGCCTGTAACAACGGTCTCTCCATTTGTGAATGAAAAGCTGCTGTGGGGCCCTTTTCTGCCATTGCTTAGGCAGGTAGGCCATTCAATGGTTTTGCTTGGACCGAGTAAAATTTTTTTCAGCCCTGCTTCTGCCACAGATGATGGATTTTTTTTTTCTTTAAGCTGTCAGTGCATTTAATTCATTCATTGCCATCAAGATGAACACAAAATTTCAAGAAATCTAACAAAAAATGCTTCTGGAAGGAATCACGACCCTACCTATAATAGTATTTTTGTTTATTTTTTTGTATAGTAAAATAAAGAAAGTGTACCTGATGTATCCTTGAAGCAAAAATACTTTTGGTTTGTCTAAATCTAAACAGACAAACACCAACACTGGATGTTTTTAAAATGCTAATTATTTGAACAATGACTGGTTGGCTAATGATTTGAAAGTCACAAGCCATGCCAGTTTTCCTGATGATTTATTTTATTTATTTTTTTACCTTGAATCCAGTTTATAGTACCAGTAGCCTTGCCTGCTTGACATTTGCCTGCTGCTAATTGCATTTAATCAAAGTACTCTTTCAAACTGCTTCCTAATTAACTCCAGGATCAGAACATAGATGGAAAAAAGTGGTGAACAATGGGAGAACAAAGGGGTTGTTACAGAGTATTCTTTTCATTTACCACTTATGGAAAAAAGACACAATCAGGTGTGATTTTCATAAGCGTGTCATTGCTTCAGACCTGCCTGCCCGCAGGAGCCCACAAATAAGGAAAACATAGTTTACAGTGATATTTTAGTAATGACAGGTTTATCTTTTCAATTACAAGAACAGCGTGTATTTCACATAGAAAAATCAGTACATACTGTACCTATAAATGAACTAAATGCTACTGCTATTTTCTCTCAAGTAGAGACCCAGCAGGGGAGTCACATCATTTGCTGTGCTATTTTGCTTTATAATAGAAAATAAAAATTAAAGCATGGCCTAAACAATTAATTCTACTTTGAAAATATAATTACTCAAAAGAACTTTTTCTTATGTCATTTACTATGATCTCATACTGTTATAAACAGGTCGTTAGTGTAATACGTTTGCCAAACATCACATTATCTGACATGTATGGAACAATGCAAATTGTGATCTTTGCTGAACATTTTTTTATTTTTTTTGTAATTCCATGTTTATTAAGTTTGTGAACATAGGAAGTTGAACGTTGTTGTGAAAGGGCTATAACATTACAGCATTGTTATTCTCTTGTTTAATTGTTTAAACAACCAGTAAATATGATTTTATTTCTTTCCTCCCCAGTGAACCCGGGCTTTGACCTATAGCGTATTTCCCCATCTCACTTTAAGTCCTGACACACTCACCTGTCACTCAGATAAGTCCTTGCGTAGCACTACATGGACACATCTTTTTTTCCCCTCTGTTCAAGGCTGAAATCTGTTGCCACTTCAGTAATAGAAAATTGTCTTTTACACCATGGCAGGTCTTAGTGAATGATAGAATTCATCATTTTCTGGCATCTTGGGATTTTAGCTTTGAAATTTCGACCCATGCAGCATAGAAAGGCCAGTTTAATTTCAAGCTTTGCCCAGAAAACCCCACTGTACTCAATCACAGATTGTAACTCGGGATACATTACTCAAGCTCTGGTGCTCGTGTTTCACTTTGGAAGGCTTTATTTTTCATCAAACAACAACTGCTGGCATAGATTTTGCGGGCTTAATTCATACAGGGCACACCCTTGTTCCTTTTTTAATTGTGTGCATAATAATTTAGGAAATTGCTTTATGCAGTTAGTTTTGAACCAACCAAAGATTCAGATATGCTTTAAAGACAAATTGTGAAAGGAATTCTGTCAATGATTATTCATCTGAAATACACAGTATAAGGTGTTTTAATTTAAAACCTTTATAAGCACTTAATGTTTGAGCACAAAATCAAGAAGTGTTTTGCAAAAACTTCAGTAAAAAGACATTTGAATTCATGTGGGACTTTAACACCATTTATTTTGTAATTTAAATCACCATATTCCAGTGCAGTAAAGTTTTAAAGTTCAATTAAATAAGGCTAAAACACCCAAAAATGTATCTTATTCGAAGCTATAAAGGAGGGCAGATGTTTCTCAGGTTTTACTAGGACAAACTTTTACAATTTGCTGCTGTGCAGTATGGCGTATTTGGTATATAATGACCTGTAGCAACAACTGTACAGATGATATCAATCATAGTGTTTGTGCTGTAGCACGGGGTTGCTTCTGTCAAGAAGGAACTTTCACTACATGTCATTGCTGCTCTGTTATTGATGATAGGACAATTTAAATTAATAACCTACACTGGAAGACACCCGCTCCCAACCCCAGTGGTAGAAGCAGCGGCTACTGAGGCTGCTGAGCACCAAACAAATCTATCAACCCCCTGACTCATCTCTTCAGCTGGGACAGAGCTTGTTATTAAGTGTCCATTTTATCAACAATAAAACAGAGTCCAACTAGTGCAAACAGGGGTCTAATTTCTGACAGATCTTTTTTGCTTTTCCAGGGGCTAAGCAGCTGTCTCTAGGATTTTAGTAAAGGAATATCTGTAGCCAAATGATTTCTTTCAGGAGAAACTGTGCTCAAAGTGTTGCAGACAACTCTTAAAGGAACATTTTTGAAAGTATGCTTGTTCATTTTCTTGCTGAAATTGTTTAGAGAAGATTGTTACCACTCCCATAGCTGTAGTTAGCAGCCAATTAGTTTAGCATAGCATAATGACTAGAAGCAGGGGAAAACGAAGCCTGGCTTTTTCCAGAGGTAAAATTCACTTATACCAGCCGATGCCTGACAACATCACAGTAATGATAATACTCCACTTGGGTTATTATATGAATCAAGCAAACATTACATAAGATACATGATAATCCGTGCACTTTACAATTGATGGTAGGTGTATTTTTCCCAAAATGTTGAATATTGTGAATGAGTCATTTTCTTAAGACCATACAGGAAAAGGGGGTTTTTGGTAAAGTTGTTTTAAGAATGCAGAATAAATATAGTGACACACAAAGAGTTCTCCTGTGCTAGGATAGAGATTCAGTTCAAATGCAACAAATTAATTAACTAATATAACCCATGTTCTCAGGAACACAGTGTGAGACTGAGATCAACGAGTGTGACTCCAACCCCTGTCAGCACCGTGGCACATGCTCTGACTTGCTAGGACGCTATGAATGCCAGTGTCCTACAGGTATGTTGGGCTTGTAGAGCTTTGCAATAATATTTAAGTGATATCTGTGTTAGCTGTGGTAGCAGGCAGCACTGCAGGTCTTTTAAAATTGTCTGCAATGAACATGACCTTAGAGCCACAGCCAGGGCCCCTCCAGCCATCTCAGTGTGCGCTTACTTGCGAAGGCGATTAGCTTTTGCAAGCAGGGTCCCTGGACTGTGCACCCTCTACTATGGAAGTTAAACTAGCTAATTCAGCATTATTTAATGCATCATATTTTACTCACACTTTTACTGAATCCTTTTACTAATTAATTCCTATATTTTAAATGATGATTGTACTACTGTCCAATAAGTCTAAATTAATCACGCTAATGCCTTATATTAGGAAACACTGCTGTCCACAAAGTGCTCAATTGTGCAGCAAAGAGGCAACACACTGTCAAATTCTTCATAGTATCAGTACAGTCTTGGCTTGTGATTGCCAGAGCTCAGTGATGCTATTAAATTGTGCAAATATTTCATTATGAAACGCACATTAATATAATGTTCCTCTAAATGCTTCTTGTACCTCACCGTCTGAATCTGAATTTACAATCGCTAAACTGATGGACCACTTGTGGGAGCTCTCTGCTCTTGGCTACACAGTTAGTGTGTCTGGCAATTGCTCTTGCCCTTTTTACTGGAACATTTTGCTGCACAGACCAGCGACACTGCAGGCAGAGCATCTTGGCACCCAGGTGATGTTTTTCTCACAAGACTTTGCCACTGTTATTTTTAGCTGTTGGCATCAGCAAATTATTTGGCTCTTTGGGGGAAATGTACCATTGATTATAATGAAACATTGTGTTTGTTCAATCTTGTTCAATTAAACATTAAAGGACAATATGAGTGTTAATGAAACATGCCGTAGGTCACAGAGTGTGTTCGCCTCATTAGCTGATGAAGCAAGGCACAGAGTGACTATTTAAAGGTGACATTCAGAGATGCTGTTGTATTTTCATCAAAGTGTCAGTCCTTGAAGTGTCTAAGCTGCTACTCTCCATAGTTTAAACAGCTGTGAATGATAGCTTGAAGAGTAACCGAATTGAAATTGAATGACTTAATTGAAATGTGAGGGACACCCTCGACATGTTGCCAGTCTATCCCACGTCGAATGCAGAAAAGCAGACATAAAAATCATACTTGCAGAGAATTTTGTGTTTCCAGTTCACCTAACTGTAGAAGTGAGGAGAACTTGCAGACTCTTTTTAAAGCCAGCAGGTTTGAACCCATGGCTTTCTGAATAACAATTAACAATGTGTGAAATAACAGTATACAGCCACTCCAAGCAACAGTTGTGAAAGATGGTCAGTTATGCAACAAATGTGTATGTGTGCATCTTTTCTAGCACAAATTTCCCAGATTTGATATAACTATCCCTTTGCCTTTTGGGTAAGTGTCTCTGTGGAATGAAGGTGTAAGCTGATGGCTGCATCACTGGGATTATCGAGTAAAAACCTCTTGTCGCAAAAAAAGTCAACTTGAATAAAGTAGATATTCATACTTTGCACACAAGATGGTTATTTGCTCTTTTCAACTGCATCTGAAGCTGCCTTTGCAGCCCATAATCCCAGGTCATGAATCTCCAACTCCCTCCCTAAACTGGTACTAGATGTGGCCAGAGATCCATGGTAACAAAATTTAACAGGGCATAACCTGGCTTTCCAGCCATGGTACTAAATCTCATCCGATTCCTCAGTAAACCTAAGCCTCTTTCATTCATATGCTTCATCTGCTGCATCTCCTCATGAAGAAGCGAGTTCTACAAGGAACTAGCCTGCGGCTTAAGGCATACAGTCAGCCTATGACTGCCTTCTTTTGGCCAGGTCCTTCACTGAATGTATTATATTGTGTGTGATCAATAACACATATTTCCTCAATGAAAACACATGTGTAAAACCAGACTAAAGCAGTGTTCCTTCTTCTGAAGCTTACTGGATTAATTTATGCTAGTTTATGGTCCTTTCAGGCCCATTAGTTTATGGTTTTGCCAAATGTGTCCTGTTTGGGAAGAAAACATCAAATATCATTACAAGTGGGTTTTTTTTTTTTCCTTTGACCAACAATATGATAATGCTTATAGGTGAGTGTTAAACCATGAGAAGAAGAAGAAGAGGGATTAGATGAGGCAGGGTAGGAATAGGAAGCACTATACTAAAATTTGCCAATTCAGACTTAAGCTAAATACTAAATTGAGGCTCAAGTTAAACACACATTAGCGCTGTGCCACAGCAAGTGCACAACATGGGGCCAATCCTTCAGTCACCCCACAACTGTCCCACTTTGGTACAGTGACAGAGAGATGGGTTTGTGACACTGATTGCAGATCTACTTTCTGCCTGTTGCATCACTTAGATTAACTGTATGAAATCTCTTCCTGCAGGTTTTCTGGGAAGAAACTGTGAGGTTGACATAGATGCTTGTGCTCTGCCCAATAACACCTGTCCACCAGAGACACAGTGTTTGGATCTCACATATGGCCTTGAATATACCTGTCGTGTACCCTGCCCTCAAACTCTTCAAGTGGGTAAAAAACATCTTAATGGTTTATTTGTCCTCATCTTCTATTCTGTATCCACATTAACTATTTTATTTAGTCCTGTACATGTTATAGAGCTCCCAATCTTCTGTTTACGTCTCTTTGAGCAATTTCTCTGCAACACGGCAACAACATTATGACAACAGCAGGGAACCAAAACAAGAAGATTAATGAGGTTTTATGTAATTCTCATAACTATTTTGTTTAGGGACATTTCAACACTGATCATTTTTCTCATATAAGAACACAGAACGTGCATAGAATTCACCAGAAACAAAACACAGTACTTGCGATGATGGTACTGTACATTATGGGTGTATATTTGGATGAATGTTGTGGTACTTTGGTGTAAGAACCTAATCAGCTCATAATTCAAGATAAATGCAGAAACACTGTTGTAGGTTAAAACACTTTCTTACAGTACGCTGACTTTCATATGTCACTAGTAACCTATAGTACAAACTGAATTGTAACACTCAAATTGAGTAAGAACATATCAAATATTAACTTAGTATTTTATTTATAAAGTGTGGGATAATCCTTTGTTATACAAAGGGATAAAAATAAGCATAAAGCATAAACCCTGCAGGATGAATGACAGTAACTGCGATAATCCAAAAACACAGCAATCAGCTTGTGCTGAAGCTGTACAGTATGTTGGTTTACCCAGGATGATGGTGGCATTAAATTCTGGACTAATGAGGGAATTCACTGCCCCCTTATGATTTTTGCTGTGTGAAATATAAGCTAATGGCTACACAAATTTACAGTAGTTAAGTGACAAGAATTTTTGATCTGACTATTCGAAAACACAGTAGCTATAGTGTTGAAGCATGATTAAAACATTGCAGCACATTTTTGTTCTTTTTTTTTTTTTAAGCGTGAATGTCGTTGTACATCTTCCAGGTTTGAATCAGTCACGGTATTCAGAGGCAAAGCTGGAATTGTGTTACTGTTTGTCAGGGATTTTGGTTTTGGCATGCACAAGGGTAGCACATTTATAGGATTGAAAAGGCCTCTGCCACCTGATCCGGATAGTTGCTACTGAAGATTTGCAGGGTCTGTTCTTTTGTATACGTGGGCGTCTTTATGTATGGATGAATCGACCCTCTGTGCTTTAAAAAAGCAGCCAAACCTGAACAGAGGAGCTCCTTCGGCTGACAGATGGAGATGATCACTCACTGTGGAGCAAGGCTCGTGTTGGCCACTGTACAGAAATGCCATGATGTCTGCATTATACGCTTTCCCACAAGCCAGTACTTCCTCTGCCCCTTTGTTTTCTTTCTACTATAGATACACATGTACCAGCGAGCAGGCATATCTTTTTGTTATAGAGAGCTCTTGGGAGGTTTAGCCCTCAGTGACCATTGATCTTGTCTTGTAAAACACGATGGCGATGCTACAGTACATGGAATACTAAGTCTAGTATAAAGCAGGAATCAGTATTCATGAGTGAGGCATGTGGCTGTAATGAAGCTCATTTTCAGACAGCCAGGAGCAAGAAATAATTAGTGGTTGGGCTCTGTCTAATCTATGATATTACCATGGAAGAGGAAGCAATTTGCACACGAAGCAGCATATCTTATTTCATGACATAGAGCACCTCTAACAGCTCTGTCTTTCTTCAACAGCCGTGTGCCAATGGAGGACACTGTGTGTTGAATAACGCCAGGAGCTACACCTGTTTCTGTGCACCTGGCTGGTCTGGTCAGAACTGCCGAATAAATGTCAATGATTGTGTTCAACATTGGTGTCAAAATGGAGCCACTTGTGTGGATGAGATTGATGGTTACAGGTGGGTGTTGAGCTCTTGATTGTCTTCGGGCACCAGAATGTCAATGACCGTAAAAGCTGTGATATTTACTTTTCTCTTCCTTCAGGGTTGAAAGAAATTTTCTTACTCTATATAGAATCAAGGAATTCTCTGTGATCTTTTGCTAGCTGCCTTTGTCCCGGAGGATACACAGGCACCTACTGTGAAGAGGACATTGATTTCTGTGTTGGCCATCACTGCTCTGAACATGGTGTTTGCCTGGATCAGCAGTATAACTTCACCTGCCGCTGCATGTTTGGATTTGAAGGTTCTCTCTGTGAACTGGAAACAAATGAGTGCAACAGCTTCCCCTGTGCAAACGGTGCCACCTGTGTGGACCTAATCAGTGCTTATCAGTGCCACTGTCCCCCAGGGTTTGAGGGTATGAGACCATCTGATGTGAATGTGAACCTGTTTACAACCATTAGTGCAGCTAGACACAGGAATATCAGATTTTTGAGCATGCTTTAATGTTTATATGTTCATGGAAATATGCAGGTTGAACATATGGAAGTAAATGGAAAATTGGAATCACTATAACACACACTATAAATGACATAGAAATGATTCAAATTCAGACATATAGTAGCACTAGTGTGAATAAGAAATAGCCTAATAGTCACATTGCTTTTTGTTAGTATTGGAAACATTTATAATGACAAAAATCTCATCTTTGACCCATTTTATTCCATTTATGAATGTGCTATAAAATATTTCACTTGTATTAGTGAAGAATAATTTAGAACCCAAAGGTTATTGAAACATTTGTGTTAAGTGTTATTAAGCATTTATATATCACACCTGTGTCATGTTTAACATTTTTTAGACAAAGGTGACACAGCTAAATACAACTATTACATATTAATGCAATTAGTTTGTTTGTTACAGCATGCAGATTCAATAGTTGTAGTATTTATTTAGCATAGTGTGGCTAGTTACGGCTCCTGATTTGCATTGCATAGTGAATCTTGGCCATGTGTGATGAAAATGTCCAAGCAGAATGGTACAGTAATGTGTAAGCAGGTAAATTAATTAATATTGCCTGGCAAAAGGAGCTGGATCAGTATCATACATGTCATAGAGTGTGTAGTACAAAGTGTGTTGTGCACAGTATATTTAGGCTGCAGGCACAGTCAACAATTATCTTAACTATGTGAGTATCTATCACAGAACATGATTAACAAAGTGATTGCCAGTGAGGGGGTCATGATGGAAAAAATACAATTACCTTGGTCATAGACACCAATGCAGACTGAAGAGCAGTGCCTGAAGATGTCAGGCTGTTAGTTCTCAGTGAGCTCTGTTGCTCATAGAGAACTAAGATGTCTGAAATACTGCTAGAGGCCTGACCTAGCCAAGCTTTAAATTTGTCACTAAAATTTGAAATCAGTTCATGTCTAACTCTTGCCCAGAGCATGCTAAAACTTAGACATATATACAAGGTGCAATATAATCATCCAATCACATTTTGAGCCGGCATAATCTGAAATCACCTGCAGTACCTCATGGAAAAAAAAAAAATGTTTTCAATAAACCAGCTGCTGCTCATTGTTGAGAAATTGATTAGAAATTTGTACTGCATATGTTGTTTCGAATTATTATTCACGTATTTAAGCTTCTTACAAATAATTATAAAATGTCCTCAATGACAGCCTAATGTGTTAGAAACATTTTTTTCTAACTGTATTCTTTGTAACAGAAAGTAGAGTTCATTTGTTTTTCTTCTCTTTTCTGCAGGACAGACCTGCTCTGAGAATGTAAATGACTGTTGGTCGCAGCCATGTCTAAACGGAGGCTCGTGTATGGATCTGATAAATGACTACATTTGTCATTGTCCTTTTGGTAAGTGCCGTCTACTTGTGTATTATTGAGCATGTTTACAAAAATATCATGCTATTAATTTTTGTATACTGGACCTTGGGAATATGCGGAAAAAGTTTATTTTTCATGCACTTATATACCAACTTTTTTATGTTGATCATTTTTTACTTTTTGTATAAAATGTGTTTCCAAAGATAACAAAGAGCAGTGTTATCAGTTACAGTTTGAAAGCCTGAATGCAGGCTAAAAAAAGCTCTACACAAAGCAAGTAGAAGTAATAAATCTCATTTGGATTTAGTTTTCAGCATTGTTCTTTAATCAAGTGACAGCCTGTTTTACAAACTGATATATGTTTGACATTTTGTAACACATGTTCCAGAGAAGGTCCATAAACAATTCGTAATCAAGGGAGGCGTTGCATTCCTTGGTGTGCAGCTGATTTTACTATGCCCTCTGGTAGTAAAATACTTAATCACTACTTGACTGCAGAATGCTGCAGCCAAGTAGTTACAAGTCCAGTGTCACAGTTATTAATAAATATCCACAATCCAGGATTTACAGACAAATAGTTAACAAATAAAATCCACAAAGCATAGGTGCTGACAGGACACAAAATACACTCTGGCACTGTGCGGTGGGTTAGTTTGGACAAATAATTTTGTTAATGTTCCACAAAGGTAGGAGAATTGCACCAGCTATGCTTGATATTTCACATTTTGAAAACTTGCCCAACTTACCTTTGTCCTCGAGTTGTTTTAATTTGATGTTATCACCACTGTTTTGTCATTGTATTTCATGTTTTAGTTCTGTCTTTCCCTCTGGCAAATATGCCTGTGTTTTGTTGCATAATTATTCAATTCAGTGCAATTCAATTTATTTGTATAGCACCAAATCACAACAACAACAACAACAAAAAAACATCTCAAGGCATGTACACAAATATAGAGTACAGTATTCTAGAGGAAAAACCTTGGTGACAGTGGGGAGGAAAAACCCCCTTTAACGGTTGAAACCTCAGACAGAACCGGGCTCTCTGTGGGCGGCTGTCTGCCTCGACTATTTGGGGTTGGTTCGCAGCAAAGAGAGAAAGAGAAAAGAAAAGCATCAAGAAACAACAACAAACAAAACAAACACTGAGCGTTGTTGGTGACTCCTCTGCAGAAACATACAACTCTGGAGCCAGGGATACCTGCAGAAGGACAGACAGACAGAGGACAGAGCACAATAGTAAATCATCACCAATGTGGTTGAAGTCATTAAAACATTTATTGCCTTGAAACATGTACGGCTCCTGTTACACGGTGGGTTTTTATGACATTATGGACACAGCAAATGCATCATTGTAAATAATCTGCTCTTACTATTTTTCTGTCTTTGGCTCAGATTTGATTTTGGCAAAAACAGAACACCGATGTGTCAGTAAAGCTTCCATTACCGGTTTGATTTCATTGACAGATTTATAGACAGATGCTTTTGATCACTTTATCTTATCTGAAATTCAGTTAGATATATGGTGCTGTCAGGCTTGCTTGCTTCTCACTAGGGAAAACACACACACACACACACACACACACACACACACAAAGAATCAGGAATGACTATTTTCCAGTTCGGCATTCAGGCCCGTTCCTGTTACCGTTTCCTGCAGCAACGGTACAATGTGTCTGTTGTTTTATTTCTCCTTATTTTAAAATTCTTATTGTGATTGGAACAATACTAGAAATAGACTAGAATGCTCTGCAGTCAAGGTGGTGCAATCCCCTAAATCTGTTGTTTTAGTGACAGAATGTAAAAATATTGAATCTGCATCTGGATAAGCATCAAAACACAGAGTGACGGGCAGTTGATGCTAACTGGCTGATTGCAGCCAGTCTTGGTCTTTGGAGAGTTCTTATATCCTGTAACAGAGTCGGCATGACCAGTGACCACAAAGTTTAGCACTGTTTAAATTTTAATGGTCCTGCTGTTCTACATACAGTGAACAAACACTGAAGCATGACTCACAATGAAGATGTAAATTTTGATTACAGCTGCTAGTGTGACATGTTATTCAAGCCTACAGGTACAAGAGGTTTAGAACACAGCCCCTTGACTGTTTTCTGTGACTGATAAATGTAATAACTAATGGAATTTAAATTGTTGAAAGATCTGCCAAGAGTGCAAATGGACAAAAACTGATTACCAAGTAATTCAGGGAAATATAAATGTTGTTTTGCCTTTTGTTCAGCATTACTGGAGTGTAATCAGAAACAGAGTGTGGATACCAGAACCGAGGTCAATGGTGCATGTTGGTACCCAAGGGTCCAAGGCAGGTTTGGCCAGAAATCTAGAAATTATGTTTGGGTCCCGGTCAAGTTTGGACACACAGGTCAAACTTTAGGCTAGATGGCTGTAGGGCTCAAATGTCTGCTTCATTTAATGCCGGCTTTGGACAGTATGCTTGTTGGGTTCAAAGACAAATATGTGGGCCGATCCATGAAAACTGAACAGTGGGACATCACCTGACTTTCCATCAAGTTTCACGGAATTCAGTCTTGCAGTATTTACCCTGATAATTAACTCACAGACCAACAAATAAGACTGATAACCTCTTCTGTTGAGATGAACACTAGTGGAATCCAAGTTTCATAATTGTACATAAACGTATGTCTCAACTGATTTATTAAACTGACTTAGAAGTAGTAATGAATTTGGCAATTTCTATCCAAGAACATCATTTTCACTTTTTCAGCTCAGTGAAGCAACTAGACCGTTGTTGATGAGAGATGATTAAAAATGCTGATGAACAGTAGTTCTCAGAGCCAAGGGATCTTTATAACCCATGGCCGTTGTCACTAATCACAGAACGGGAGTACACATGAGGAATTGTTTTGTTGAACACATTGCATAGTATGTATGTCTTGTTACTGTAGATTTTAAGATACAATGAAAAGGACCGAGTTTCACTCTGTCTTTGTTTCTGCAGCGGAGTTGGGCTGAGCCACTAGTAGCCGTCAGATACTGTAGAACAGGGAGACCCATTTGGAGATGGTGACACTGTAAATGTGACATTCCTTCATGCAACATTAACCTTTGAGTGAATTGCATGCACAATTGGTTATTAAACACTTCTGAAACACTCTGTTGGAGGCAATAGCTGTACATTAACCAGTCAAGGCAATACATATTGTAATGGGAGAAGGGAAGTTGGAAGGTCATCAAACATCCAGATAGATGTTGAGTACACTGCTCTGGATACAGGTTACAATGTAAAGACATTGGAGAGTGCTTACAGCTAAAGGCACTGCATAATCATATACAGTATAAATGGTGTTGTGTGTATATCCACAGCTTGAGAAAAGGGATTTGCATTATGAAGTAATGTTTGAAATATTTCACTCCTTTGCCAGTGAGTGAGACCTACTTTGCAAACACTGAGTGCACCCAGATGAATGTGAGTCAACATGGGCACGTTCTTCCTGTTTAAAAGCTCCAGATTTAGACCTAAACTTTTCTACGTAAAAACATTTTCTACATAAAACTCAAAATCTCCCATGTCTTCATGAAGTCAGTCTCCCAGGTTCTATGAATACAGCAGTTACAAATGCAAATGTAAAATACTGGTTGTAATTGTTTTGACCAATATGACACATATGATGTCACTGGGGGAAAAACACATTTTATGACTCTTCCTTTAACTCATCTTTATATGTACAAATACATGTAATTAGCAGTGGTAGAAGTAGTACTCAGATTTGTTAACTATAGCAGTACCATAGTACGGTAATACTCCGTTACAAGTCAATGTCCTACATTCACATTGTCACTTAAGTATGACTAGAAAATATTATCATCAAAGTACCAAAACTAAAAGTATTCATTATGAAGAGTAACTCATTTTCACAACTATATATCATATTATTGATTATAACTATAGAAGCATTAACATGTTCAGCACTGTAATGTTGCAGCAGCTGGTCCATCCATCCATCCATTTTCTTCCGCTTATCCGGGGCTGGGTTGCGGGGGCAGCAGTCTAAGCAAAGATGCCCAGACCTCCCTCTCTCCAGACACTTCCTCCAGCTCCTCCGGGGGAAT